CTACACCTTCTAACTGAGTGCTAGAATACATAATTTATTTTTACATAAAAATAATGAGCGTAGATGATGTGGGAGATTGTGTCAAGTGGAAGTTTAAGATAAGGGTGGTCGAACCCAAGTAGTTGAGATTAAAGCGAGGAAGAAGAAGACACTTATTACGTTTTTACTGGTACGCGAGTTTTTTTCCATGAAAATTATTAACACTTAAATAAGCATTTGTAATTTACATGAAAACACAAGTAGTAGTAAAATTAAGTTTATTAATAAAAATTATAAAAACGTTATCTAAAATATGTTGAGTGTTTAATTGAATAGATATTTGTTTCATAAATTTGAACACGAATAATAGTGAATAAGTGTATTTATTATCAAATCTCCTATCAAGAAATATTCTATAATAATATAATATCAATAGAATCACGCAAATTAATTGTTAACACTTTTAACTTGGTTAATCATCGAACACTTGTACTTAACACACGATAATGTTTTTAACTTTTGTAATAACAATTAAAGATAATTATTTCTGTAAAAACGTGTTTTAAAAACTTTATTATTATCTATGGAAAATAAATTGAGTATTGTTACCAGTAAATAACATAATTAGACAGTGTTTACTTCTGTACTTTACATAATATGGACTAATATTGGATACCATAGAAAATTGTAAAAATAAATCAAAATTTTAAAATGCTGTACAAACGTAACTACTGAGTTAAAATAAGAGTTTTTGGTATAACATTTTTTGTTTAATACTTATCTATAAAATGGCTATCTTCAAATCTTAAAAAAAATTGCACTAAAAAAATTAATTTTTAAAATATTTTTTGTAATTGAGACATTAACATAGTAGTCCAAATCGTTTAAAAAATTACAAAATTTAAAAATCGATAATTTTCGAAATTTTTTCAATTTTTTTATTTAAAAATGCATATAAGTTTTTAAAATTGACCGAATCAATATAACTTTTTTTTTATTGATACCTTTAGGTATTTACCTATCATCTGATATATTTTTGTAAACATTTAACCCTTTACTAGCCCACAGGAAGGGTTTCAAAATGGGAACTCTTTTATANACAGGAAGGGTTTCAAAATGGGAACTCTTTTATAAAAAATTAACTTTTTCAACTTAACTTTTGAAAGTGTTCCGGAAATACTGACACTTTTATATATACCTTAAATTAAACCTTATTTAATATACTTTAATTTGAAAAAAAAATTAACCTCTGGACTTGTCTTCTTGATGAAAATGGCTACCGAATACTATTTTTGTATGAAAATTCTCGATATTATATTTTACATTTTAGCTTCGATGCGAAGCTGAGAAGGTATTGGTTTTACTATGATGTGTTTTTTTTTTTTTTTTTGGTACCATATTTTCTCAGCTCTCACCAAACGGATTTCCATCTGATGGTGATTGTAAGTAGTTTTTATAATTCTTTGGTGATTTTGTAATTCAATCATACTAGTTATCGGTATTCCTTAAATCACTTAATTACTTGTAAAATTAACATAGTAATGAAAAAAGATTATTTTTTTCAGTTATTTATATTTCTTGGTTTATTAACTGTTAATTAATTATTAGAATCATCTTTAATTTAACTCTATAACTTATAGATTTGTCAACTTAAGTCAACCTCACTGCGCGTCTCAGAAGACGTATGGTGTTAAAACTAGGCGCTTAGTTATACAGAGTGATTTTTTTATCATAACCCACTCAATTACTTACAGTGTAATAATAATTTAAACATTTATTTTTTTGGTTATCTTTAGTTACACATTATTATTGAATTATTAACTATGTAATACTTTTTAAGTTCATCCCTTATGCCTGGTAAGGGTGTCAACTTGGTTTTTTTTAAATGGGAACACATATTTTGAATTTAATATAATATTTGAGTTTTTAATTCAATAGTAAATGGAATTTGAATTTTTAATATAATTTATTCGTTTATGAGATATAAACATTTAAAGTTTTAAATTTTTGA